TCTTGGTGGACAGGAATGACATATTTGAATCATTTAATCTTTTGTAGATAGAGATAAGCCATTTCCTCACTCCCGTCTTTCATCCAAAGAGAAGTATCTTCCACGTATGTGACCAGTTCAGAAGGCATAGAACATATTGTTGATTCTTTGTATACGCTAAATTACACAATCTCCCAATTCCATTGACTTCTGTTGCCTCAATGTCCTGCTTTCTGCCTGAATCATACATGTAATCGTTCTTGTATCTGACAATTGGTGTATATACTCTCCTGCCATCCATTCCTGTTTACCTTGTCCATTAGGTGGCCTCGCTGATGCCATGTGATCAATTTTAAAAGTATGAGATGACTTTGCCACTTATTTTCATGGGATACAAGGTCCCTCCTTCCTGCAATTTTCTGGCACTTATTTCTGCCACCTCCGTAGCTAAATATATAGCCCTACTCAACTGATATGGTTTTACATTTCCTGATATTCATCATACATTGTTTTAATTTAATTCTATATGTGTGACACATGTGCAGGTGTACTTGTTGGGGCTCTGTTACTATGGTCATTATATCTCATTGAACCTCTTCCCCAGATCGACTCCTCCTCATCCTCCTCCGTTTCCCTTCAAAACAGAGCAAGCCTCCTGGGGATCTCAACTGACCATGGTATAACAAGTTATAGTAAGACGAGGCACAAACCCTCCTGTCAAGGCTGGATGAGGCAATCCAGTAGGAGGAAACGTTTCCCAAGAGCACACGAAAGAGTAAGAAATACCCTCTGCTCCCACAGGATCACCCAGCTACACGACCAGAACATAATATGCAGAAGATCTAGCTCAGCATCATACAGGTCCCCTGATTGTCTTTTCAGTCTCTGTGATTCCCCTTAGTTTAGTTAATTCTGTGGGCTGTGTTCTCCTGGTGTCCTCGATGCCTCTGGCTCCTACAATTCTTCCTCCCCCTCTTCTGCGGGGTTCCCTTGGCTTTGCCTAGTGTTTGGCTGTGGGTTTCTGCATCTGCTCCCATGAGTTGCTGCATAAAGCCTCTCTGAGGACAATCGGGCAAAGCACCCATCTATGAGCATAGCAGAATAGCATCAGTAATTATTTCATTGTATTTTTTTCCAGTTGTGTAAGGTTTTATCCTGGATCTCTGGGCTGTCCAGGCTGCTTCCTGGCTATTCAGGGAGCGACAGGAGTGTGTAAGGTCATTTTGTATTATGGAAGGTGCCCTTTGCCTTACAGAAAATTTTCAGTTTTGTAAAGTTCCATTTATTAATTGTCAATCTTAGTACTTGTGCATTTGTGTTCTGTAGAGGAAGTTTTCTCCTGTGCCAATGCATTCAAGACTATTTCCTACTTTTATCAGGATCAGTGTATCTATATTTATGTTTCTATTTTCTGGAATAATTTGAGGAGTATTGGCATTAGCTCTTCTTTGAAAGTGATAGATATATCTTTAGGCTATTATCTGAATGAACTGCATCTTAGCCTGCATATTAAGGTTCCATGAAGTAACACAGCCTAAAATATGCAATGTTTTTGTTCTCTTTATAAATTTTACTTTTCAACAGTCCTTTAAGGTCTATGTAGACATTATTAATAACAGTTTGTGGATTTTTCCCATAAGTTATCTGTCTATCTATCTACATATATCTATATGTATATATATGCATATATATATATATATGCACACACAGTTTTATTAAGTTTTAGATAAAATTATCCATCTTATTCTCTGACTCTAATTAATTTAATTAAACACAAGATAATTATGAATAGATTATTAATTGTTAATAAAACCATTCTTCCCTAATATGAATGAATATTTTCACGTATTAAAACATTTGTATAATCATCATATTGGAAAGGAAAGTATTTCAAAATAACATTTGTTACTCAAATACAAAGAAATTGGAAAACGTCTTCAAGAGTGTTCCCTAGAAGATACAATTAAAATTTCCAAAAAGAAATTATTAACACTCATTTGATACTCTTTATTGGTATAACGGATTAGAACTATTTTTGGTGAGATATGCATGTGACGAAGTTCCCCTTTTGCCTACGTGTTATGTGGACTAACCTTCTCTGTTGGTTTTAGGGACCAATATCCTTTATTGCTTATACATACATATTTGTGTGAACAACTTCTCCTGTGTGTGTGTGTGTGTGTGTGTGTGTGTGTGTGTGTTTATAATAACCCTGAAGGACAATGCAAGACTTGATGTACATCGATGTTAAGGAGAGAAGGAGTTTGACTAATGCAAGGAAGAAATACATTCATAGGCAGATGAGATGAGTTAGCCAATGCTAATCCTTGTGTTAGCTAAAGAATATCATCATTTGGGGAACCCATGGACACAAAACAAAACAGAAATAAACTTTATATCAAATAACTCTTTAGATCCTTTGCAAATTTGAGACTTGAATGTAAAGTGTGTGTATGTGTGTGTGTGTGTGTGTGTGTGTGTGTGTGTGTGTGCAGAGAGAGTCAGAGAGAAACAGAACAATCTTTTCTATTGCTATCATCTATACTGGCAAACCTGGCAACATTAGCTAGGATTATATAGTTTAGGAATGTAACATGCAGTGCCAAGTTTAATTTTGTTTCCCCAAATTGAATCACATGAGAGAGAAAGAGACTAAAAGAGTGAACGGCATGGTGAAGAGAGAACCCAAGGTAAAGGCTGGAACAGGAAAATGCGTTGTAACAGCGGGGAATGCCTTGATGTGAAAAGAAACAAAAGAATAAAAGTCTGAAAGTCAGGTGGGAGAACTCGAAGCCAAAATTAATCACAAAAGAAAAAGTCTGTCGCTAAAAGTAGAAAAAGAATCTCTCAATTATAAATATCAAAACTTATCTGATACCCATGATTACTGCATTTTAAGAATGTCAGGATAGGCTTTTAATCCCCCCCCCCTTTCTCTTTTTCTATTAACGAAGCAACCAAATTGGGAACGTTTTGTTCTGATCACAGTTTTGTGGTACGGAGAAAACCAGCGTGCACAGTAGTTGTGTCTGACTGTTGGCTGAGTACACTAGGACGTTAACAATCAGTGTCCTTAAAGGCTAGCTGTGTATGTATGACATTGGAAGCTGAGCAGAAGATCTTTAGGTATTCTTTTTTAACAGAGTCGGTCAATGCTGTTCTATTATCTGATCGCTCAGGTCTCCACCAAGACTGATGCAAAAGTGAAAAAACAAGATGCTAGGTTCTATCCTAAAATATCACCTGCTCTGAAACTAGCAAGCGATAGCTGTTTCATGTGTTTCCTCTGTCAACACCCCAAGGTTTGGCTGTTTTGAAGACACTGAACAAAACAGAGGAGAAAAGTCGTTAAGGATATACAAATAATCATTGAAGAGGTCGGAATGTGATAAACACCACTAGCAAAAAGGAATCATGGAGGTTTCAGAGAAAGAAGGCAACGCGTCCAGCTCACTTTGGAGAGTTGGGAAATCTAAGTGAGCAGGAAGGGGAAGGTGCATGGCTGTGCCCCTTCAACTGTTTGCTGGCATTAATTCATTGGCTGTCACACTCATTTTCCTGAAGCCTTCTTTAGGACTTCTTCTGCTAAAGGATCTCCACTAAGCATTAATGAAAACGAGTTAATTACTGTATCTTTGATAAGTAAACTTACCACCCCCAAAAACAAATAACCCACCCAAAATACAAAATCCGAAGCAACAATAAAAAGAAAATAAACTTTACCTGGCCCTCATTTTAGTATTTCCTATTCCCACCCTCACTTTAAGACTGCAGACGGCCTGGTTCATTTTTGATTGTTTGTTGCCCCCAGGAAAGGTGTGTTTATTAAGTTGTTCCTTGGCTGTATTGTGGCCCCGTTTTCATGATACTCTTATTCCCGCATACAGACTTTGTAAGGAGGGCCAGAGCAGTGCGTGTCTTTGGGGGCTGTGGCTGTTTCTGTGTGTGGATGCCCTGGGGTATCCATTCGTGAAGGAAAAACCAAGGCATGCATGGAGAAACCAGAGGTGGTGGGATTCGGAAAAGCCCAGGGAGCTGCTAAACAGCCCGCTCCGAGTCCTCTGACCTTGTGGTGCGCCCAGGGCACCACCACCAGCTACTCAGTAGCCCTGCCTTGCTTCGGGGTGCAAGCTCAGCTTTCATTTAAATATTCCTCTTCTGCTGCTTCCTAAGGGTGGCCCAGCAATTTCCCCCAGACCAGGGAAACCCCTCCTCTCTCTCAGAATGTAAGAAGGGAGGCGGAGAAAGAAAGGACTTTCCTTGGGCTGAGAGCGGGGATTCCCTGTCCAGGACCAATGCGTTTCCACCACGTCTGCCAGCTGAAGGCAACCACAGCCAGGATGCCGGTGATACTTGGGAACCTTCCTCAGACCCCCTCGACCTCTCCCCAGGAAGGGTCTGGAGCTCGGAAATCAGCTAATGAGCTCGCCCCCATTGGTTGTCCCCAAGACACCCTTATGCCGTCACTGTGCTATGCTAATGAGGGGCAGGCTCATTGGCTGGGCCTCCAGCAAATGCTTGGAAAGACCTGTGCGGGGAGAGGCGAGCCCACCGCTCTAGCCCGCCCGCCGGCGCCCAGAGCTTGCTCTCTCGCCAGGGATGCCCTGGTGGGAGGCTCCGGTCCCCGCCTTTCAGGAAAGTGCCTGGACATCACGCGGCGCTCACGCCCACCACCTTCCCTCTTTCTAGGCACCGCGGGATTTCTCTCTCTTTTTTCTTTTTTGTAGGTGAAGTAACTTTTGCATTCCCGCATCTCCCCCCTTCTGCATCCACCCCCCCTCCCCCGACGGTCCCAGGGACCAGAGGCGGCGCCGAGCCTGGGGGCGGTTCCTTGGCAGCGCCGGTTCGAGTCGCAGCCAGACTTTTGCTCCTGAGCTCCGTTTGCATCATCCCCCATCTCACCCTCGGGGAAGAGGAGCCGGCCCCCTTTGCAGCCTCAGCTTCCGGCCGAGGGACCCCTCCCCCTCCGCGTCCCCCCCCCCCCCGGCCCTTCTCCCACCTTCCTCCTCACGGTACCCCCCCCCCCTTCTGCAGCGTTCGCTGCCCCTCGCTGTCCTCCTCCATCCCTTGTTGGATGTTGCCCACTCCTTAAGGAAGAATGGTTGATTTGGAGAGCGAAGTGCCCCCTCTGCCTCCCAGGTACAGATTTCGGGATTTGCTGCTAGGGGACCAAGGCTGGCAAAATGATGACAGGTGAGTGGCCTGGTGCAGTGTTCCACGAATACCGCTTGGAAGGGGACAAGACGGGAGAGATGTGGGAAGGATGGAGGGAGAGAAAGGGAGCCCGGCGCTGAGGGAGTAAAAGGGACTCTACACCTCTCCATTTTGACTCCGAAGAGCGGTCGCTGTGGACAAGGAACTCTTTTCCTTTCCAGTTTATCATTCTTGCAATGCATTTGTTGCATTTATTAGATAGTCTTTGTCTAGCTTTGCATCCCTGGCCGTGTATGAGGCTGCAAGCAGAGCTATGATCGCATCCAAAAGGCACGCTGTTACAGTGTCAAATGTTTCTTGTTCTTTTCCCTTGGTGTAGCTAATCCACCTCATAGATGTATCCAGGCGATTGAAAAATCACAGTAGAAACTTAAAACTTACTCCTTGTCAGTGTTGTCTCGCCTACATCTTTGCTTGCCACTGGGAATTTTCTGCTGTTTAAATATTTGGGAGTTCAGGTGGGCAATCGGTTTAAATATGTAACAGGTAGTTAGTGAAGCAAGAACGCTCGGAATAGAAAACCCAGCAAACGGGTACTTGTAGCACGATTAACATATTTCCACTCCGATAATGCATATCTCAAAATGATAAGTTTCAAAGGTGAAATATTTATTACTTGCAAATCATTGCTTATATGTTTTATCAATGGCATCAGAGCTTTGTGCAATTTAACTTACACGTTGCTCTGGCTAGATTTTTTTTTTTTTGCACACTTTTATGTTTCATTGAATTGTTTTCTAGAAAGATAATTTCACATATCACACGCCACATTTTCTTGTTTTAAAGTAATATGTGTATAACCAATCTCTCGGTGCAGCTTAAATGATCCCCCGTGGTTCAGTTTGGCATTAATGTTCTATTTGAGTTAGATGATAGAAGATCCATTATTGGTCCAATCTGAACTCTCTCCCGCACTCATCATTGGGCAATATGCCCTCTGTTTTTGCTTCGCATTCCCAGTTCCCAGTTCTAACTCATATCCCAACACTCTGGGGATTCCATCTTGGACTTCAATTACCGGCATCTTTCTTGGTCTCCCCATTAGTAACCAAGTGGCATATGAAGGGATGCTTTGTGAAGGATACTGTTTCCAGTGAATCTCTTCTTTTTAGGCAGAGCCTTGCACAGTGCTTAGAAATTTAAAGAAGGCGTTTCTGGGTTATTTGCTGCGCATGTATTTAAAAGGAGGTGTTAAGTGGAATTAACTGGAGTTAACTGGATAATTAAATGGATGTTTGAATGAATTTAGATGGCTAGCTGAGATTTAGGTAAACTATCTTATTTATCCTTATGAAATGACATAAAATTCAGCAAAGGGTTTGTGTGTGTGTGTGTGTGTGTGTGTGTGTGTGTGTGTGTGTGTGTGTGTCTGTGTGAGTATGTGTGTGTGTTTCTTCCCCTAGGGATGGGATTTCCATTTCTTTTGAGACTTCAGGCTCATTACTTCAACATGAGAAATTTGTGTAGGAAGTTTAGTGTAGACTGGTTCTCTGAGTAAGCCCTGGCTACAATGGCTCAGAGTTATTAGTTTAGCTAATTGTTCATGTGGTTGCCCTCACTCTTCAATAAAAGTTTCTATCTTAGTATTCACTGACACAGAGTTTGGGTTGGCTATGCTTCCTATGTGTCAATGTATCACTTTAGAAACTTTGTAGCCATTTAAAATTTGTGTTTACAAAAGGTTTTTTTTTCCAGCCTAACTCTAACTTAAACATCTACTTATATTTATCATTGAAACAAACTATTCACTATTGAGCCATTTTTATATACTGGAAGAGTTTAGGAGATTTAACTGATTTTTTGAGACTTTGTAAAAGTTAATATTTAATTGATATTGTATTTGTTATTAATCTTTGAAGGAGAGATCATTACAATCAGAGAGAACAGATTTCAGTCTTTGCTCATATCCTCATAGTTGAGTAGCCTTGGACAAGCCATTTGGTGATTATGAGCTTAGTAATTTTATGTTTATAGTGTGAATATTTATTTCACAAATGTCTACATCATAGAATAGTGGCAAGAAGGAGGTAGGATGGCACAGGACTAATGTGGCACATGGCATTAGTTCTCATACTTGCCTTGAAACCTAGCTTATTATTTTAGCAACAAGGAAACCAGGATTATGGAAGACTGATGGATAATATGTCATATAAAAATAAAGACAATTCAAGATGACTCCAGTTCTTTGTGACTCTAATTCCTCAAAACTCTTAGAACTGAAAGGTAACTTGTATTTCCTCCATCTCAATTTATAAATTATAAATTCATGGCTCCTACTATCGTTTGGTTTCTTTCTAAATCTTTGTTCTTTTACTTAACTATTCACAGTTATATTTCTTTCTCCTTTCCTATTTCAGGATCTTAAACTCATATGCAGTAAGTAAGCCATGCCGTTTCTGTTTGATAAGAGCACAGTTTCCTCCTTGCAATTAAGTCTGAGCAGAAACCTTAATTTATCTAGCTACATATGCGTGTTCAATTCCTAAGGAGTTGGGGAAGAAACGCTTCCATGACATAGATTGCAGACTCCGCCAACAGATGCACTGAGGGCTCTGTTCATATTGTTTAGACTTCCTCCTATGCATACCTTTTGTATCGCCACACCCGGCCATTCCAGGAGCACACTAGACTTTAAGCATGGATGAAGAAGATGTGGCTAGAGGGACAATGAGCAAACAGGGAGTTGTTTTGTAACCATGCTAGTACCTTTCCTCTTGCGTAGGATAATTTAAAACATGTTTACTATATTGTGCCCAATAAAATTCTAGTTGCCCTCAGTGGCTATTGCCTTCTTCTTGCAAACTTTATGGCCCTACTGACTGCTGGTTTCATTGCCAAAATCCAAATAAACCTCTTTCTTGGCTTATGCGGAATTTGGAGTCTAGATGGCCATCGTCTCTGTTTGAATGACATCCTGGAGATGACAGAAGGTGTTTGTCCTAACTATACGGAAGTAGATTTGTTTTGTTTTTTGTTATATCTCCCCTCCCCATCACTTTAAGAATTTTAAGCTAAATCTTAGTAGGACATGCTTGTGGAAATAAGGAAGGATGCGGTAGATAACTGAAGAGGTCATCTTGAAGAGAAAAATGAAAGTAGCTCAGATTTGTGGCCTGAAACTCAGTTTAACTTAGGCTGCTCTCAAATTGATGAAAATCTATCTGCCTCAGCCTCTCACATGGTGGGTGTGTATCCACGAGCCATCAAAACTGGCTTGAGATAGTGTACGTTTTATATTCTATTTCTGTGTGTAACTTAGGATAGGCAACCTCACTGTAGGTAGGCTTGAGCCTAACCTGACCAAAACACACGTATGCAGGTAGACCTGTAATATTTAGATTATGAGATTACTTCATCTCATCTGCAGGTGTTTTCCTTTTCTGCGTAGACTATGTGTTAGTCCCAGCGGTGCTGAGAATGGCATCCATCTCTATGACACTTTGGACTAAATTCGAGAGTTGCTGGGTGAGAACACAACTTTTGCCTTGAGGATGTCTGTTTTCCATATAACACATGTTTATTTCTTTGAAATTCAGAGTATAACACAAAAACATGTTCCAAATGATTTCTATCAATGACTTTTACCCATCTCTCCATTCACCTGGCATTTGAATGGTTGTCGAACGGCAGGTCTCATTATTTAGGTTTGAGAAAAATACACAGAAGTGCAAACCATTCCTTCTTGGTAGGGAAGTATTATTTATTGAATAATACTAATACTATTTATGTTATGACTTATGTTCCAGAAAAAAAATGTACATCTTAAAGTCTAGAGAAAATCTTGTTCCCTTTGTGGATAGTATGTTCTACATTGGCCTGAAAATAAAGCAGTTGAAGTCATCGTATTAGAAATGGACTAAGGCCCTCAGTGCATCTTTAGTGTAGTATTTAGACTATTTTGTGATTTCACTTTTATTCTATGATTGAAACTCATGCGTAGAGAATACATTTTTACTGGCTTCACGTAGGAGCCGTTCTGTAATATGTAGGCTCATGGAAGCCCGTGTTTCTACTCAAGGTGTCTGTAATTGTGAAACAATGAAGATTTAAAGTATTCTCTGTCAGTTAAATGCTGGTAAGCCTCAAGTTTTAAAGACTTCCAGTGAGTTATTACTGGTCTTTTCTCCTCTTTCATTTTGAATTGTTAAAATTTTAAGTATAGAACACAGTGAACCGGACATCGGTAAATTGTCACAATTCCTTTTACTGCTAATGGACAGATTTTAGCTGTAGTTATAAAGAGTAGAGGCCACTTATTTAATTAACCCATCTTATTTTCAAACATTAGGGTGGTTATTTCAACTGTAATCTCCAGCACATCCTTCTTGATTTATAGGTGATATTTAAAATTAATGCAAGCAAATTGCTGGTGATTAGAACCAAAGAAGGATTTGAACAAAAAGTTCAAGTCAATCAATGACCAGTTTAAGAGGCATTCTATAAAATAGGCAAAGAATTTGAATAGATGCTGGAGTAGTTGAAAATTTTCAGGTATTATATCACAAAATATAGTATTGCATGTAATAGAATTAGGTATTAAGAATGGATTTTACAGTACCATATGGATTGTTTGTATCAGTCAATATTTTTTCTCCAATATCAAATAACAGTAGTTATTGACTACAAGATATTTATTTCAAACCTTTTAATTCAAATTAATTAATACATAAAAAGAATGTAATTACTTAAGATGACATTTTACTATTTTAGTTATATAGTGCAATTAACTATATGTATATATATATGTATATATATATAATACCACAAAAAATGATTTTACATTTATTATTAAATCTAATCAGACAGTGGTGCACACCTTTAATCCATCACTTGGGAGGCAAAGGCAGGTGGGTCTCTGAATTCAAGGTCAGCCTGGCCTACAGAGCAAGTTCCAGGACAGTCAACATTACACAGAGAAAGCCCGTTTTGAAAAGCCAATATATTTATATAATCCTGAAAAAAATCATGATTTTCTTAGC